CGAATAATCATGGCTTTCAACAGTGAAAAATCATGCAAAACTGAACCACGGCGAAAAGCACTCCGAGGAAAAATTTCTCCACTGGATACCATTCTTGTCATTTCTGAAATGTCTCTGTTTTCTCTAGTACTGTATTGCATGGGTGTGCAAGTACTGCACCCAGATTGAAACGTACCATTTCCACATCCGGAATGCTTGTCCTTGCAACAAATATTCACCCAGTAAAAGGTTTTTAAAAGCACATAAATCAGAATCTTAGCATTTGGGACTTCAAAATACGCTTTTTTATAAAAAAATAATTGTTAAAATTGAATTTTAAAAAATAGCATGTTAGACATTGGAAACATAAAAAACAAATCATTCATGAGCATACATTTTTGAGCCAGATTTAATGTAACAAGATTCTACTTTACGTTTGACAGTAAAATTGAATCAGTATATTTCAAGAAACATCAGAAAAATATTGTAGTGCAAACATTTAATTATGGCTTAATGTATATGTTTTCTTCCCAGCTGTGGAGTCGAAAACCCCCTCAGATGCAATGCATTGAGTCTGCAAGCCAACTCTTCAAGGTGAAGTCCAGATGAAAATCCCTTTCCTGGTACAGTACTTTCAGAACATAACCCCTTCAAAAAAAAAGCTGTAGATCTGCATGAAATCTCAAAAAGTCCTCAAAAACGGGTTTTAATCTGAATTTACAGTCTGGAAGTGTGGATCGCAGATTTATCACATAGCGTGCGAAGGGGTTATGCTCAAAAAGAGGTTTTCAGTTTATTACCTCAAGTTTTGGTCAGAAAGTGTGGATTGCAGATTTTAATGCATAGCATTTAAAGCAAATAATGCTCAAAAAGGAGATTTTCATTTTGATTCATGCTGTTCTTCAATGCACAAAAGCATAGCTAAAATGGCATCGAAGAAATCAGCCTGATTTTCTTCAGAACCGAAATAAAAAGTTTCATGATTTCAGAATTTTCCCAGAACTCAGCCAATTGATCTCGGAAAATCGGAATATTTCAGTGGAAAAGAGCATTACAGTGTTCGTGCCTTTTGTCCGCACTTCATCAGACTTACTTTGCAATTAAATACGTTCTACAAAACAAATTTAGCATTCGTTGCATGCTCTTGTTTCCGTTTGAAAATAAATTTGAGATTATCAGAACTTTGTGATGAAAAATTCGTGATGCCTTAATTTTCTGCATTGGGATTTTCCGATATACTGAGTATTCCTAATGCGAGAAAATCTTTTTGTATCTATACGCTGAAATTATGCGAATACACAATGCCTATTTTTAAAAAACGTACTTCTGCTCAAAAATAGGCTTTTTTGGATTTGTTTGTGTATGTAAGAAACATGGTCGTCTGAAACACGCCTAGAATTAATTAAACTTCTCTCCCAGATATTTTCCAGTCGGCGTGGAAATGTTTCCCAACGTCGTGACACTGGATAATTCACTCCACCGATGGATAGCTTTCGACCGACTTCAATTTTCGAAACGAAAAGTTGAAACACGAGGCTTTGAAAGCGATTCCCGGCGGCCCACTTGAATGAAACCCGAGGCACAAGGTGCGAAATTATGAAGAACCGAAAGCCGACACGATTTTCGGTGTTCGTCGAAACGTGCTTCGGCTGCTCAGAGCCACGTAAAGTACTTTCGTACGGGAATAAGCGCTTATACTAAGCCTGTAATACATCCAAGAACCGACTTTCTATATTCCTTGATGAACGAATAACACGAGTACAGTGCCTGTTTCTTTTTTTTTTTTTCTTCACTTACTCACTCAAGACGGCTTTAACGTGAGCATAGCCAATTTGAGTCAGGTAAGTTCCTCACGATCACGAAGGACTGAATATAAGATGAAAAATCTCAGGTTTGTCATCAAACGCTGTTCCCAGCTGGGATTATGAGATTTTCATAGCTGTCATCAGCATTGCGAATATCACACTGCAGTATTAACATCACGCACAGCACGACAGAGGGCATTTCATGATGCGAAGATATTCATGCAAGCGTTGATCATAATAATTGGCGAGGATTATTCAAGGCGGAAATTCTCTCGAGTTCGAATAAATTTTCCAACACTTCCCAGGTTGAGAAAACGTGACCATCGAGTTTTATAATTCGTAAAAAAAAGCCAACTCATTCTAACAGAATGGACATGCATGATAACCACAGACCATTCTAAAGAAACAAGAAAATGTTCTTGCAAAAAAATGATTCTGAATGACTTTTCGGAAAACTTTTTTCATCGTGCATTTCAACTCAAATCATGCCTTTTTTTTGCACACTGAATCACCGTCCGCTTCCAGTGCTTTGAAACAAAAAAAAATTGAAAATTTATAACTGCTCAATTCATTATTCAATTTCTCTGGACCAAAATAGAATAATGAACGACTGCTTAAATCACTGTTTTTTCTTGAAGAGTTTCACGTGGCAGTTCACTACAAAGAAAATACTATTTTTTCAATACTTTTGACCTTCAGACGGCAAATGTCCGTCTTTCTTTCAGGTGCGCTGCATAAAAAACATTTCGAAAAAAAATTTTCATTTTCCATGCCGTAATTCCCAGCAGGTACAAAGCTAAATTTTTAATTCCCCGAGCCAGAAGAATGAATTTTCTCTCGGAATTCAAATAGACTCAAGCATTTAATCATCATTTCACCTTCGCTGAAGCAAGAATGTCATCCCAGCATTCGCCGCCAGAGGGCGAAACAACTCACTTATACTGCATGAGTAATAATCGGATCGAAAGCTCTCACGTTCTGTGACTCGTGAAAATGTATACGTTCCCTGCAGTAGAATGAACAAACCGACTCGGACGCAAAGGGACCAACATTCCAGCTACGATTTCAGCAGAGTCACGGTCAAATTCTCGGCTGTATTCACTCATTGAGGAATACTGCATATTCCATCACGGAGAACCCCCCACAACAATGGAACGCAGGCGCGGGTTTTTGTTGACGTGGGGATTTTTCGCGTCGGCATTGTTCTCCACGCACGGATTATTCAACGGGCAACTGGGGCAAACAAATTTGTGCGGAAACGCGGAACAAACTCGGCTTCGGAAGAAGGCGAACGGAACTCCAGACCACGAGAATCCCATGAACCGCAACGTAATACCCATCGCCTTATTCCTCGTCGTCGTCTTCCCACACCCGGTATGGTCTCCTGTACTCTGTCTACCGACATGATGGTAACAACCTCTGATGGAAACTGAACGGTGAACTCATGGTCTCACCGAGAGGCATGTTATCCGCATATAAACGTTAATCACAGGTACAGTACAGAAGTACTGAACCGCACGAAAGGCCTCGAAACTTCTGCTCCAAGTCCGAAGTGGAGCGAAAAGGTACATTACAACTATACCGACCTCCAATTTCGTAGAAAGAATCACGAAGGAAACGCAGAAAATACCGTAAAAATTTGAAATCTTTTTGTTTCATTACAAAAACGAACGATATCAGTGACAAGAGCAATCAATACTGAAGACGATAGACGAAGGCATGAAAAGATAGAAGATGGCCGACGAGACCAATAACATCCGCAGGCTAATCACATTGTGCCAAGCTCATTTCTATAACTGTAACTGCTACTCTTAAACGTCTGAAAGAACCAAACCAAATCAGATGTAATCTGAATCCACGGAAGCCTGACTCGGATAACCCAACTTAACCTTTGAACTACCGACACGGATGCAAGGACAGAAGCACTTTATGTGATGGGGAAGGTGCAACACAGATCAGGAAATAACCAGCACTGAGAGACGGCTTCCTCTCGGAATTGGCAATAAAATTCACCATGAAGCACACACATAAACGCGGAAAATGTCTTCAGAAGTGTCCCTCCGTGACTCTTCATTGTTAATTATGAACTTGTGATGCCTTATTGAAACCTCACGAGTCGGCCTTACATAAGGAAGTCCGCGTTTCGTACTGAACTTTACGATTAGCTTCAACAACTGCAACTCCACCATTCTCAGAGATTAATATATTCAATGGGGTAGTATACCCACACGCTTTCCCATTGCCAGCAATAATGAATAAACCACAAGACCACGGGACTTAGGCGCATGAATGCATTATTCGAATGCTCAGAAATTTAGATCCTAAAAGCGCAAAGGGAAATTGCACGCCAAGACCAGCATTACTTACTGCTGATTTCGTGTCGTTCGCGTACAGTGCGAACTTTCGAAACGATCTCCGTAGAGTTTCCTCTGTATGTTGCTAAATTCTCACTAAAACTGCCTTCTGCTTTTTCAATAATTTAGTTCAAACGATTGTACGATCAGTACAAATAAACCTGACCCAACCGAACTTACGAAAATTAAAACTACTTTGACTTATACCCTAACTGTTCCGCACTATAAGTACTATAACCACGTCGACCAAAAGCCAGAATCATGCACAAACGAAACTCAGCTTGAAAGCCAAATGTCTAACCTTTGTTCCTCAGATGTCTGTTGACAGCAGATATGGACATATCTGTGTTCGAATGAAGATTACGCACAGTAAACGGAACGCGGCGTGTTCATCACTCCATTTCAATAATTGTATGTAGTTTTTTGAAATTCAGAACTTATTCTGCTCCTGCTGATCGAGATGATTCGGTTTGGCTTGATCAGTGTTACATGAGGTTGGTTACACAGCCAATTTCGAAGCGGTGCCGGAGTGCATGGAAGCACCCACGCAAACGCTTCCACAATTTTCGAGTTCTTGAGATGCACCAAAAAATCCTGCGCAAGTACGGCACTCGGCACGGCCCAAGCGCGCTTTCCCAGAATTTTCAAGGCCACGAGCACACCAACGATTTCAAACGAACGGCCCCGCACAAGTTCGTACGCTGTGTTGTGCTGCTGAAAGGGGTTTGATAAGCGAAACGCCAATCGAATCCATTCTCCACCATTCACACACCTTCCGGAAACCAGCACAGACAGAAAGAAGGCTTCACACTGAATCTGAAATTAACCCCTCAACTGAGGACCCGGTACCGCAGGAACACAGATGGATAAGCGCGAACTTTTCGTTCCAAGCGACATGCGAAGAAACTGGGGGAAGCTTCATCCTCCGGTGTCGCGAGCAAGAAGCAACAGGATCGAGGGGCGCCGGTGCAAGGGGGAACCTTCCAAAACTGAACAGGGGAGGAAACAGCCACTGTGGCCTGTGCAGCAATGGTACCTTGAATGGACGGCCATTATACATAGATCACCCCCTTCATGAACAGAAAACCATCAGGCAAATAAGGGGGATGATAAATTGCCGGGTGTTAAGGTTTGATCAATATTATCAACTTATTTTGAATCCATGAAGCTTTCAGTTTCGCAAACCGTTTTCTCGCTGTGACTTACTGTGACCAAAAATAGAGTAATCTGATATTTCTTGAAAAGCTAATTGATGCAACAGTAAGACAAAACATTTTTTCCTGGGAATTTATTTTTACAATAATGATTTCCAAGTTATTCGGCTTGTTGAACCTCTTATTGAATCAATTTGAGTACATCTGATCGAGTCTTTATAAGCCAAAAGTTTTTTTAAACTTGTTTTCTTCCCCTTGATTGAATTACAAACATAGTACAACGTAGCTCCGGCCTATTTATTGCAGACCAAATTTGCACATCTTGATCTTATAACATTTCATGATGTGGGAAAGCATCCATACAGCTTTGTTTGTTTTATATTGTTCCATTTAATAGCCACTTTCTTCAAGGCAGCATCTGCGTAAGAGCCTTATTTGCATGGGAACTCACGAAATGATGATGTCACTTCTCCTTCAATGACAGGTTTGACATCATCACTGACAAAATAAATTTTAAAAATCCTACCGGAAATTGTTTAATCACATGATCATTTTCTGTTGTAGAGTTTGCAGTATACTGTAGTTGTACAGGACAACTAATGATACATTATTGTGTGAGGATTTTTATAACTTGGTAGAAGCGGGTTTTTGTCATTAAAAGTGGGCCTTAATATCATCAGAAAATTATAAAATGCCGTAGAATGGGTCAGGAGTAACAGGCGATTGCAGGTGTGGTTGGAGAGGATCTCAAGGTTACACAATATTAACCTGAAGGGCTTCAAATTCAGAGACAATTATACTATCAATCGTTATTTTTACCACTATTTGTGATCGTAAAAGCTGATTATTTCAATAAATCCATATGAAAACTCAGCAGGGCCGGAGTTCAAAGATACTGTACTGTATATCCATGAGAAGGCGCCTTATTTACGGGTAGAACGGCTTCCCGCGGCCTGACTCATTGCCGCAGACGCGCGGCTGGCGTGTTTGCGCCACGGTCATTCGCTGGAGTCACGAACACAGGTGAGATTACGCATGAAATACGCCTCCAAGGAGAGGCAGCTGCTGCTGTTACTGGAAACCTTTTCGCACCAAACCGAGAATTTTCGCAGTTTGGATCCACAGAGTTAGAATACTGTACTGTGCTTGTGCGCATGTATATGGACTCAACAGCCTTCTTCCCAAGACGCCAACGTTGCTCCTTGCCTGGCTGCATGTGCGTCCTTAAATTTCCCGCGCACTTCTTTGGCTGATGCATTCAGCAACACTGCATGCTTTCGGGCGGGATGGTTGAACAGTTTTTCACAAAAAGTAGCTCTTGTGCCGAACACTTCTGGTGTTAATTCTATGCGTTTTTATTTTAGTGATAAAGTGAATGGCCCCGTCATATCAAAGTTTAAATCAAGATGTGCAGATGAACTGTGATTATCCAGGAAATCGGCTGAAGCTTTTGCATGGATGATGAAGTACATCAAAAAAATACTGCATGGCATTGTTTTCAATAATTGTCTCCTCCACATGTAATGGGCTTAGTTTAGGGCTGCCTGGTAACTATTTTTGACAGCACACTCTTCATCAAAAGCAGTATTCTTTTCTGTCATTAAATCTCCAGGTCTGATTATGGAATTAGATCCTCAAAAATGCTGAAACTTGCTTTAAGGTGAACAATAGATACATTCCCTTTTGTAGATCCATACCATCTCAGCAACTGAATCCGCCCATCTTGTACTGATTATAATCTAAATCCCATTTCTTGACTGGACACTTTCATACTTCATATGAAATTGTACAGTAGAACCTTATTACATCAAATCTACTATAACATAATGTATTTTGGAAATGAAGTATTTTAGGCCCCTGCAATCTGGCTGCAAAACTTTTTGAGTACCAAAATGAGGGGTTTCCATTTGAAATCTGATGTCTTCTGATTTTTTTAAACAAAGTTGTTCTGTATTCCAAAATTTTCTTGTCATCAAAAAGTAATTAAACACAAAGAAACGGAAACAATATCTGGATTATATTCTGAAATGAAAGGAAGGTGGCACTAAGAAAGTGCAGTAGGTCCTTCTTACAATGAATCTCAGCATCATAATTGATTTCTTGCAACAAAGGAATGTTTTAGATCCCTATCCAATAGTCACATCATTAAATTTCCCAATTTGAGGAATTTTGCATCACAACACAGCAATTTTATTGGTACTCACACTTATTTTTTGAAAAATGGTTTTAATGTACTGAACATAAATATTTTTCATAACGTTTTTGAGCTTCTAGGTTCATTTTTTCCCCAATGGCCATGCCAGTCGTAATTTAGAAGTTAGAAGGAACATTAATAAAACTACCACATTTTGAAAATACCTCTTGTACTGAACTTCCTGGGAATCGTTTTTATTTTGTGAAAATGTTTCAGTGTCATCCCTCCGCAAGAATGGCCCCTGAATCACCGTTGAATGTCCTTTATCCCACTGTAATATCATTCGGAGTCCTATCTTCATAACTTCCCTCTCAAGTGATTCCCCTGGAGCTGAAAGACAATTTTAGCCCCACTTCAAAAATATGTCTTTGTTAATGTTCCTCCACATCCCTTGATCAACAGTGGTTGAATGTTCCCAAAGCAGAGTACAGTACAAGTAAGCTGGATTTGATGTAGTAATCAGGAACCAGCTGGTTCTCTTACATGATTTTCATCAGTACCTGAATTTCTCTTGGGTGACCACAAACTCAAAATTTTAAAGTTGTACAAAATTCAGTTCTTCAGATCTGATGCATTTGGTGAACAATCTTGCTAATTTTAATGCTTAAAAAACGAGTTGATTTACCCTGCTACTAATTGTGTCTCTGATATGGGTACAGGTGGTACCTCACAATTTGACCTCTTGCAATTCAAGCATCCCACAATTTGATGCTTAAATTTGCTTGGAGTTAAACTTGCAATTCAACCTCAATCCTCCCAAAATGTGACCAGTTCTAGATCTTTTTTTTTAGTTTTTTTTGGGCTCTTTGCCATTGATTTTAGTGTCTCAAAATGTGGCCATTTTGCAATTTTACCCTAGTCCAGCAATGAATTAGGATCAAAATGCAGGGCATCCCCTGTATCCACTTGATTTATTTCAATCATGAAGGTGAGAGGTAACAAGCAGCTGCTGCAAATCTTTTTGAATTTAATGGAGAACAATGGTGTATATTCAAAGTACTGTATGAATGAATGAACTGGTGTCAGTGAAACAACTTTTTGGTCTTTGAAATGCGATGGAATCGCATTGTAAAGTGACTTTTGCGTGTGAATTCGCAGCACGGGAATATTTTGTATGTTTTTCATGTAAAAATCAATGTCTGCTTCTTTTTTTTTTAACCTCGAAGCGTGATTTCGCATCTGGTACTTCATCAAATCATCAGTCTTGAATTTCCTTTTCATCGGTTTCTATTTGCACCAATGAACTCTTTTGGAATTTGATGAACATTTCAAATTTCAGAGACAAAATGAAAAACTCTGCGGTCATCATTTCAGCAGTGATTTGGACAGCCCTGTTCTTAAATGCCTCGGGGCCCCAGAGAAACCAGGTACTTGCTGAACCCAACATAAGGATTGATCCGCCAAAGTATAATTACGATCACATGATAACTAATCACTGCCCCAAGTGCTGCTACACCGGGAAAAAATGTTCGAGGTTCCCGGAGAGGTACAGTATTTGAATGTATATTTTGCTTTTGATTTGTTTTTTTGTTTTGTTTTTCCATGCCTGTTGCGTTAGATTGCGAAAAAAGTGCAATGAAAGAATCCTCTACGGACAGTAGTGTCATGTACAATAAAAATGACGCCCAGCAATGCAAAAAACCCCAAAACAGACGTGATGAAAATGTATTGTACTGTATTACAGTAAAGAAAATTTATAATCGCATACATTTTGGGATGAAGCGGAAGAACTTTCAAGAAATATTGCATGTGCATTTACTCTAGCTACTTTTTTTTTTTTTACCGAATGAGGTTCTTCTTTGATGAAAGTTGGAATACCGCATGGTTTCATTTTTTATATTTACCGTATCTGCCATTTACCAAAGAAATCTGACATTTCCTACATATTCAGGATAATATACGGGTATTCTTAGTGAAAATAGATCCATTGGTTTCTCCTGAAAAGATGACCAACGATCATTATTCAAGCTCAAAAACTTGAGTATAATGCCCCTATTTGAGCTCATAGACCAATGGAAATATTTGAAGTAGCATACATCAATGCCCTCCAAAATGAAAAAACGTTTGACTTTGAGCATTGATTGCTTTTTGCAGGTGCGATCGTCCAATCTGCAAAAATGCCCAGAATAACAAAGGATGAAGGGCAATTAATTTTTGCGGACAAAACCCTGATCAATCATTATGACAAGCATTCATTTGAAAGCACAGAATGGGCCATACTTTTCTTCAAAAACTCAGTCAGCAATCGCTTGTTTTTCCTCAATCTTTCGGATTCTGATGCTTCTGCTCTGGATTTTTCAGACAATTTGAATTTCATTCATGGAAATGCACTGAAAGAATTTCAGTGTGATCTTCCCCAGCCCATGTGAAAAGTCAACTCCGTGTCATTTCTTTCCGATCATTGCGACCAATAGTGAATTACCTGGGATGACGTATTTCGCCTTTCTGCGAATAAATCCTCATTTCTGCAAATGAGTTTTTGGCGATGCCAGAACTGGAATCGGAAAATTCCCTGTTTTATTTGGAGCTATGATGGAACACACGCCGAATAAAACTCATGAAATTGTAAGTCTAACAGAGTGCAGCTAATTTAAATTCAATGTAAAAGAATCTGAGGAACAAAATGCGCAAGACGAAGGAAACCATACATCATTCCTCAGATGATGATTAATCAATTTATACTGATATAATATTTTTTAAATAAACGCTAGAAATCGAAGTAATATCTTATACATTTTAACACGGTAGCAAAATTTATTCAAAATCGTCCACCCATGTAAGCCACCATGCAATCCGTTTTTGATAGGTCAAAAATATATTTCTTCTAATTAATCCAAAATTTCCCTTGCATCATTGGCGAACATTGAATTTGGGAAAGGCTACAGAGAAAAAATGAGTTTTCATCTTTTTGTTCCCTACATTTATTCCTGTGGGACTTGCTTCCCTTACATGTATTTTTTTCTTTTGGAGATGCCCAATCTTTCTCAATTTTTTATAAAATTTTACATGAGACACAGTGTTGAGTAATATACAGGTATCATTAATTTTCTAATCAGTAATCAATCATTCTGCAGGACTTTATCTTTAGTGCCACAGTACTTCCTCATTTTCTCATATACTGTAGCATTTGAATATCATGTCTTGTGCTGAATTAAAATATATCTTTCTATAGCATGATTTTTCTCCCTCGAATATTATTGTACTGTATAAAGTATTCCTAATCCCCCTGAATGTTTTCCTGTGTTTCAATGTCAGAAGGGTGACATCAGATTCATAAGGCATTTTTCCTATGGTGCTTAATTGAAAAAGGAAACCCTTGCACACTATTCAACTTCTCCATGAAATTTTATTCCAGATGATCATTGAAAAAAATTGTAAATGATTCTGCGCTTTACAAGATTCACACTTCTGACATCTTGCGCTTGCAGCTTCATGCAGCCTAAAGTCCAAGGAATTATTGGTAGAAAGGAATGTAAACAAAATAAAAAGAATCCTCTTCATCTCTGTCCTAAAGCTGGAATTCTTCAGTGAGGCATGATTCATCAAAATGTACCCCTGAATCAACTCATTCTCATGACATCATACAAATGTAAAATATATTTTATTGAGAATGTGTTAGAATGATAATTCCTCCTCACAAATCACACGTGAATCCGATATTATCAATTGCTGGACACTTTTTCTTTATTCACGAGGGCAAACTCAAATGCAAGAATCAGCTGCCTTTCTGGTTTGTGGCGCAATTGGTACTCTTGAAGTAGAGTGTTAATAATAAGGAGAGATTATTAATTTGACACAAACTCATGAACTCCGCTTACAAGCAGCTGAAACTTGTGGCAAATATAAACTGTGTCATATTACCAGCAGTCCAGCAGTGAGCATATCAAGTTCAATGGATCCACTCTAAAAGAATTATCTTTCCACAGATTGTTTTAGTGGTTCCCATTTTTTTTCTGCAAGCTGCTACTACTGTGAACTGAAATTAGCTTTTTTCTCCAGTAGGAAAATAGAGGAGTGAGAAAAATCATGAAGATAGTGAGCAGTTTGATTCTGGGAGGAATGATGTTGATGGTACTGAATTTTGCAACTGGTGAAAGTCATCCTGATCACCATCCAGAAGACCATCCAGGAGAACATCCAGGACACCATCCAGGATACCATCCAGGACACCATCCAGGAGACCATCCAGGACACCATCCAGGAGACCATCCAGGTGACCATCCGGGACTTCATACAAGGAGTCATATCGGAAACGATCCAGGTTTCCAACCAGATCCAATTATAGAACCATAAAAAGAACCTGACGTATTAGTTCATGAAAACGTGGATCATGGCAGCCAGAACCCAAGTTGCAAAATATCATCATCTGGCACAGACTGAGGTGGAAAGATGGCAGACTGAAAGAAGTGTCATGATCATGATTTCAAAATTTAAAAAATAACATTGAAAGTTCTGCGTTTTCGAAAATACTTGACCTGCATAGAAACTTTTTCCTTAAAAGTACTCCAGATTTTCCCTCCAATTCCACACTGATTTGGTCGGTTTATCTCTTCCTGAAGTGCCTTCATTTTTTGCTCAAATTCAAGAAATGAAATCCGTTTGATGAAAATTCTGATCGTCACATCATTTCATTCATAAACTACAAATATCCTGTTTGAAATTCTTTTTATTGCAGCAAGGATGAGCATGGCAATTATACTTTGATTTCCAGATTTTGTGTTGACAGTAGTACATCCATCTGTCCATCTTAGTTCCTTTGGTGGATCATTAACTTGAGATTTTCTGTACATTAGATTGGGTCTACATGGATGTGGAATGAATACAGTACCCGGACCAGAAAAACACAGCAAAGAAGCATAATAATTCATCAGAAACAATGGGGCTGAAAAAGTGAAAATTGTTAGAAGGTAAAAACTGAATAAGCAAGAAGAATCTCACATGTGGAAAATATCAAAGACAGATGCTTAAGATCATGAGATGCTTCAGGCCAATCCTAGCCCTTGAAAGATGAAAAATCAAACAAGTGAAACTCAAGCCACCCTGCCCCACAAGTGAAAATCGCGCAACTCAAAAATTTTGAGATGAAAAATACCTTCTTGTGATCCAAAAAAAGATTTTCATCATCAAATGGCCTCCAGCTTTAGAAGGTATACATTTTTTCCAGGAAAAAGCAAAATATAGGCCAAGTTGTGCATTGAAAATGTGTGTTCTTACTTTTAGAAAAGTGTACGGTTTTATAAGAAGAAATATTTCAAGCCGTACACCTTGTTTGAAATTAATGTAATGGAATTAGGTCTAGTAGACAAATGAGGATGAGATTTATAAAACAAGATTTTTAGGTGACTGAGTTTTTTGGAGATTTAGGAAAAATGAATTTCAACACCACAATTGGCCGGTGCGCGAACCGACCAGGGATTCTCTCCCAAACAGCGCAAACCTTTGTTTTAGCAGTTCAACAAGTATCAAAACAAATATACACAACAGCAATTTCACACACACACAAATTAGCAAGTTTTTGGTACTTGAAAAAATAAAAGAGTGACGTTTTTCCGCAAAGTACAAAAATTCCCATATACGGCGAAACACTTTGAGGTAAAAATTTGACTGACTGTCAGCACAAACAAATCAGGGGTTGCATACAAAAATGAAGGAGCGGGGTACATTGTATTTTCAGGGTGTCCCAGAGGCTGGGTTTTGAATACAGAAACAGCATAAATAAATAATTACATTAGCTGTGTCAGAGACAGCCACAAAACGTTTGCGTTTGAGTTCAAGATTTTATCAGAAGGTTTTGAGGAAAAGACACAAGACAAATTCCAGATTTGGACTCTAGTGTCTGCACAATCTCCGAAAAAATAAGAGGAGTCTCCTAAGTTTGAAAAGTTTCCAAATATGAAAGCACACAGAGTAACTCTCTGACATTTTGGTTGGACTGGCTGCATTGCGTGATTTTTGGGGGGTTTTATACTTGAAAAAACGGGGGAGGGTACATAGTGTCGTCAGGGTGTCCCAGGTGTTGGGTTCTGGGGTAGGCGAAAAACACCAGGTGGTGGTGTTTTTCGAGAAGCTCAGAGTTTTTAGAAAAAATGGTTTTCCCGAACACCGGGTGTTTTTTGAATTGGGAAGGATTGTTGAGGGCTGCGCATGTTTGGGGAGACGGGGACAAATTGTTTTAAGTGTCCAAGGGATATGTTTTCTTGGCTGTAAAACGTTTTAGATTTCAAGACGAAAAATGATCTTGGTGTTTTTGAGCAACCAGCAGCTGGAAAAGTCTGGTCTTCCCCCCTTTTTAGGTTATTTGAACTCCTTGAAAATCGGCAGGATTGAGGGGTCATTTGACCCCTTGGTTGAAGTTGTTGGCCCAGGGATGGGTTTATGTTTTATTGTCAGCAGTTTCTGCCAAGTTGTTGAGTTTTAATTTTGTTGCCCTGTCAAAGGGATGGTTTGCAGCTGTAGGCGATTGCTGTTTAATTTTTCGCGAATATTGTGCTTGTTTTAGGTGTTACAGCTTTCAAAAGAAAAATTCCGCACAAAAAGTGCAGTTGCATTTGGCTTTTTCTGAAAGGGATTTTTTGTGACTGAATTCAATTGTCTTTATATTCTTGTAAGAAATCTCAGTGTCAGCAAAAATTACTCGGTTAAATGCAAATTATTTCAAGATTCAGACCTTTGTAATCGAGGGCAGGCTGGGCAAACAGCTGATTTCAGCGTTCTCTTGCCTTTGTATTTTTATGTTATTCACTTTTTCTGGGAATTCTGACTTCGAATTTCCTTGACCGTGCCAATGGTGCATTGTTTGTCTTCAAGGAAAATCATGTCTATAATGTATTTGCAGACAAATGCAGACATGTAAGGGAGGAAGCCTCAATCTCTTTGCCTTAGACTCTGTCCAAAAAGTAAGACAAGATTCAAAACATTCATTGTACAAACACAAAAGAAAATTATCTTGCTCTGTGACAATATTCATTAGCACAAAGTGCTTTTATATTTGATTATGCATTTAATATAAAGCAGCAAGATAATCAACTTACAGTATCTCTGTCTTATCTTGTGAATACTCATTTGTGTTTATTTTTCTAGGCTTTCACACAAACTTGAATGCTAATTGGCTTGCATTTCAGGCTGTGGTGCATCAATTCATTAATGAAAAGTGACCCTTGCACTCTAATTGTACTATACCTGTGGTTATATTTTCTTTAAAATATTGTGCATCAGAATCTCAAAATGTTTTACTCTCCAGATCTTGAGGAAAGTGAAAACTGAAAACATACCTTTTTGGTTTATAGGCCTTTATTTCACCAAATTTTCAAATCACTTTCAACACTTTCACACATTGTAACTGGCGGGAAGATTTGAGCTTGTGCCAAAGTCGTGTAAAAGTATTCTTCGAATTCAAAAAATATTCATAAATTAATGTCTGAAGTTTAGAATTCTTGATCATTCAACCAAAGCATTCCTACCTTGGTTTTCATGGAGATGAAAACAGCCATAATTGAGGATATCTTCATTCATGTGGTGGAGATATGCCCAATTTATTCAGGCAGCCATTCAAGAATATGTGCAGAGCATAGGTTTCATTTGAGTCTTTTCAGGCAAATACCTTGACCCATCAGCATGAACATTTTCCCAAAATTCAAGCAATTATCTATTCTGATTTCTTTTCTCCACTAAAAAAAGCACCCATCAAACACTCTGGGATATATTTCCAAGGTGGTCAAGATTTATAAATTAACAAGAAACTATGTGATATTTTTCAAAATTCCAGAAATAAAAAGCAATCAAAAGATGACAATTGGTGGATTTCTGTTCTGATGCACAGGTCAAGTCTACAATTTTGTGAGTATAAAATATTTAAAATGCATTTCCGAATGAAAACATGAATGCACAATTCCACAAGACATGGAATGACGTGATGAATATGAGCAATCTGCAATACAGTTCAGGAAATATGCAGTGCTCCAACCAAGATGTTTCAAAATGAAGATTCATTAAAAACCAGATGCAATGTTTGAAAAAAGTCACTGATCCTGCCCCCCCCACCTTAATAGGAATAAATGAAGTATAACCATGAATTTCGAAGTCCTGGCAAGAAAACCAATTTCAATCCCAAAACGTATTGGAGGGTTTACACGGTTCTGCGCGGAATCGTTTTGGCGCGGACTTGAAATGATCTGAAAAGCGGGACGAATTTTTTAAAAACATTCTTCTCACATCACTATAGTTCCAAAAAGGCTGGGTAGACACCTTCTCACCGTAATCACCGCCAATTTTTACACACTTCTGAGCCCTTTTGATCCATGTGTTGAGGACTGTTGAGACAGCTGAGGGTTTTTGAAAAGCCTTGAACTGCATAGAAACTTCTTCATGGAAGCTTCTCTTATTGGATTCTTCTCCAATTCTACACTGGTGTAGCTATTTTATCTCTGACTGAAGTGCCTTCATTTTTTGTTCAAATTGAAGAAAATAAATCGGTGAAATCAAAAGCTGTTTGTCTCATAATTGCATTGATAAAATGCAAATAACCAGTTTGAAATTATTTTTCTTGCGATAAACAGCATGGCATTTATACTTTCATTGCCTGAATGCGTGTTGGCCGCATATTTATCTCTGTAACACAGTATATCAATTTCTTCTCGAAATTCTCATCATTTCAGTTTGACTGAAGGTTGCTGAAGTGTTTGCAGGGTTGCAAAGGCCTATGTTGTGAAAAAGTTTGGGTACAAAAAACCCCATTGTCTCAAGAAACCCCCAATGTTAATCCTATGCTGGGAATGCATGAAAAAATCTACCCAGAGAGGAATTATTTTTTATTTTGACCCAAAATTTTCTGTGGAATTATAAAAAAATATTGCACTTGTTCCTGACTTAGGCCTTGGTTCAATAATCATACTTTCTAAAATTTCCAGCCAGCAGGAATAGCAATTTGTGAAAATACGTTGCCTTTGCTGCAAAAGGGTTACATTTTAAATATGCAATTTGCAGGTAGTGGATAGCCATCTGCTTCCTTTCTCCATTCTGCAAGGAAAAAAAGAATTCCTACATTCTTTTACCTCTTTCCTGTGTAAATATTGAATTATAATTTTATAATCCATTTTTGCAAAAAGATTACATCTCTGGCATTCAGAAAAGGTTTTTCCACCTCCATCAGGAAGGTTCACCCAGTAATTGGTGCCAAGATAATGCACATTTTGCCTTTGGTGGCATCGTTTTTCCATTTTAATTTGTTGTATTGTACACATTTTGCTCCTTTTGTGCAATGTGATACATGTGCTGAGAATAAAGTTATGCTTTGTTTCATGATATGAAGTGATTGAATGTCTTGGGGGGAGTTGAGTTGGGTGGGGAGGGGGTTTGGCTGCGGGAGTTTTGGTTGTGCCTTGTGAACGCTGAAAAGTTGTGCCTTGCGAACGCTGAAAAGCGGCAAATAAAGTTTTCTGTTCATTCATTCATTCATAGAGTTATGCAAAAAGATCAATAAATACTGTCTGACGCAAGAACTGAAGCATCTGAAGCAGGTTCAAAGTGCAGCAAGGTATAACAGCAGCAAGTTGTGACTGCACTGCAGCAAGTACTGTAAAAGTTGTGGCAACACATCTGCAGCAGCCACTTGGAACTGTTTTCATATCAGGGAGCAGTCACTTGCAACAACAGCAGCAGATTAGACTGCAGTAAATCAAGGTGTGGTAATTATAGGAGTGTGGTGACTTTTACCTGAGCCCAGTCCCTGTATACAGAGTTCATAACAAACTTTCAAGTTCATGAGCCCAAAAACATTAACAGACCAGCACTGGTGAAAATAACTGAACTGGAATATCATGCTTCCTCTTCCTGGAACAAGGTATGAATGAATCACAAGCACAAATAATCTCCTTTTCTCACCCTTGAGAGTGATGGAAGGACCTCTCTATATATAGTGCACGTTCTCTTGATTGTGGAAGAAAGGGTGTTGATAATTGAGAGAGTGTCTAGAATGAAATGGGATAAAATATGAATCATGTCCCATATCACACCATGCACCTCTGCATGCCAAGGCCCCCCCCCCCCTTTTCCTATTAAAATCGCAGGCGTCTCTCAAGGAGCAGGAAAATGATGGGGATGCAAAACCAGCAAGAATCCCTTTCCATCTCTGGCAAGCAGCAGCAGCAGCAGCAGCAGCAAAGCGGAAACTCATTACTGCTATTCATCCCCCAGCTCTTGCACATGCTAATGGATTCCAGCTATAAGCGAAGTCGGAATTGGAAGGAATCCCAGGCTTATTTCCGAGTCCCTGGGATTTACTCGCCTGTCTGCATGTTAATCCAACTTTTCTCAAAAACTATCTCTTCCCGTCTGCTGCTGCTGAACCCAGAGCCAGAAACCCCCAAAAAAAAACTAATACCCTCTACCATTCAAATAAACTGCTAAAATGAGCACCTATTTCGAATAAAGGGAAAAATACAGTGGACTCTCTGCTTGTTGAACAAACTGCTCAGTTGACAAACTTTGGGTTTTGAGGAAAAATCTCTCAGGTAAGACACCAAAATTGATTCAGTCATCAAACTTTTTTTCTGTGGCAAATTTCAAATTTCAAAATTCAAACTTAGATTTTGAGGCTGAATTTTATGATTCGACCTAAGTGCAAATAATTTACTTATGGATTGATAAGAAAATTCTCCCTTTCAGCACTCTAATATGTGTTATCTTATGTTTAAAAAAAATTTCAGCTACACTATTCATGCACTTTTTTCTGTGACATTTTTTTTCTTTTATGTGCTAAACTTTTCTATGATTGTTCAATTGTTATAAAGATATATTTGCTCTTCACTTGCAGCATTAGACAAATGAATGTCATTTTCACCTTTACTCTACAGTTTGTGTTTCTCTGAACATTTTTTCTTTGTTCTCATCAACGCTACTTCCATATAATGCTGTAAAACCTAAGATGGAAGCATCAACATATTTTGATGATAGCTCATGGTCCTGAATTTTTTTTATTCAATTGTTAATTGTCTTTTGGGTTCATGGAACTGATTAAAGTCTCCCCCATTGAAGTCTGAGGGAAAATTAAATTTGGTCAACAAAATTTTGTCTGGAACCAATAAAGCTTGTTAATATCAATGGTCCACTGTAAAGGCACTTGACTCACCAGAGTGTTGGGCCAATGTCAAGTGCCAACCTTGCCATAGGCAGATTCCCAATTCGTGGTCGATGGCAGAGTGCAAAATCCCGTCGCAGGGCTGCAAATTATCTCTTCCTTCTGTCCACTTAGAGCCCGCGTAGTTACAACTGCAAACTTCATTTTTGCGATACCCTAAGCACTCAAACATTCTCGTTTGCAAAAAAAGTCGAAAAAAATCGCGTGGACCCCCACTGCTGAAGCCGGTCTTGAACTGGAGAATTTTCCCTTTGGAAGTCTAAACATCGCACGTTTGCCGTAGCGATGTTTACTTTCCGAAAATAAAGTCCTTTAAACCAGAAACAAACAGGAGGAGGGACTAATTTGGCAGAAATCGGGCGAGGGATCTGTGCAGAATGACATGACACATGTTTAAACCCCCTGAAGGCGAAAGATCCCTCATTATGAGAAGGGATGTGAAATGCATTTGAGTCGCAATATGAACAATCATTGCCAATATGACCGGGTCTTATTTGTGCAAAGCAATTATGCGCATACACTTCAAGGCAAGCAGTGCGTGAAATTTGCACTCTTCTTCCCTGGCTTCTGAGAGCTTCGCTGAAGCATGTAATTAGATTTTGCGATTTCCAATGAATAATTTACCAGTGAATCCCAGGTATATAACCCAACAATTTCTGGAACGTGAACCCACGGTTCGAGGAATCCATAATTCTATGCTAAAACGCGGTTTTGAATATACACGTATGTAATTTTCAAAACAAGCGTTCACAACCTCTTATATATGACCGATCTTTCTGAAAAATATCAGAAAAACACCATGGCTTTAGCTACAAAACATTTGAATACAGTATCTTATTTGCAACTAGTTTCCACAAAGAAACAAAAATCGACATGATAGTAAATGTTAAGGTTTTATTTCACCAGCATTCTTACTTTACATTCATGTCTTGATGGTTAAAATGTGAGGCTCTATCTTGTAGATACAATCACTCAAGGTTGGCATTCGATCTTGTATTCGGTTGTCTTGTGCATTTCACAGGAGCAACAGCAGGAGGAAGACAGCGGAAGTTATGTGACATATTTTTGCAAGATATGTTTCGTGCCTTAGGAAATCCTCTCCTCCGAATTCTTTTTTTTCAAGGATCAAATTACTCGAAAATGCTGTTCGGGAAAAAAGAAAATCGCAGTACGCAGAATTATTCCTGATAAAAATAAATAGCTTCGTTTTCTCGGGACCACAATAAGTTCGTAGAGAAAACTCAATTTGTTCACCTTCAATGTTTTTCAAAAGGAACCTTCTCCAAGCAATCTTTGAGTTGATCTACGCCAAGCATACATTCAAAGTTGAAAAAATATTGTGAGCAATTGCAAAAAAAAATCTTGGCAAACTATATTGCAATTGCTATTTTTTAAATACATTTCGATACTGCTTGTACTATCTGAGTTGCTTATGTACCTGAAAAAACATTATAAAATACTGGAATTCATACACTGATAAAAAATGATGACTTCGTTCTTTCATTTTTCCATCACATGGGCCCAGTATACCTGGACTTGAAATTTTTCCTTCCTTCTGGAGCTCCACCTGATGCCAAAAGATCAGTTTCTGCGTTGGTTTTTTTCTGCACAGGTATTGTCTGCTTCTTGAAGTTTAAAAAACAATGTAATTTAATTTTTTGGGAGTTTATTCCTAATTTGTGATGAACAGGAGAACTAATTAAATAAGTTCAGATTTATTGAAGTCTATGGAAAAACAAGGCCCAACATATGGACAGTCTGACATTAAGGGGGCAGCTATAGTAGGGTCCAAGGATTAATTATCTGTCCGCATCTCGGGACCCCATGGCATAAAAGCCAATTATCATTTGCCAACGGCATATAGCTCTTCCTACGAACAGATCTCATTTGAATCTCTGTCTCTCTATTTCTCCCCAGATTTCACATGCACAGCATTTGCATAATTATGATGTTATGAACCAAGTGGTGGTGGTGTATGGATGGTGGTGATGTGATGAGGTGTCTCTGTTACTGTGGTTGGACCATCAGCAAAAGGCAAGATTATGATGAGATGCGCCCCCACACAGAGACAGACAGAAAGACAGGAATAACAGGTTGTTTGCCCTTCACATCCCCAGGGCACAGTCACATAGCAGTCCCCAGGAATAAGGCGACGGGGGTCAGGTCATTAATTCGCAGTTCCCCCGGCCTGTGAGACCCTAATGAACCAGCACCAAATCGCGGTGTCCTGTCTCCCACGAGGAGGGAGAAAAGAGCCGCATTATTCGTCCTCCCACTTGCTTTTCCCGTATATATTGGCGGAGAGAGAGAGAGAGAGAGAAGAAGCTGTGCTGATGCTGCTGCTGCTGGTTGCCAATTCTCGCCCAGCATTACAATAATCTAATCACCCGCAGAGCCGGAAACATCAAGCCCAGCTCTGGTGCGAGGGAACATCCGGGGTGAGATGGGGCTTCATGACAAAATCTGAGCACGGAGTAGGAGGATTGTTTCCCAGACATAATCTCCACCTTGACAACCACTCCTTTAAAGAAATTTGAGCTTCTTACATGAGGTGACCATCCTGGTATTTTTTATTGTCAACCGACTGATGATAAATGGCGAATAAAATATTGTACTGTACTGTACTGTTTAAAAATTATTACAAAAACTTAATGAAGCCAAACCTAGAGAACAAGGAATACAAATCGAATTTGGGCATTTTCCTGGGGCAAGGGAACCAGTTTTTTCCCCCTCATCTGGGGAAAAGTGTACAGTAGTGTTGTCCAATGCATTGTTGGGGTTGTTAATTGAGCAGATTCTACCTATCTTGGACGTCTCTTCAATTTCAATACATCTATTCTACACCAAATTTCTAACAGGACAATCCTTGAACAAAAAGATTCAATTTCTTATGGCCAGGGCTGCTGGTAAACTTTTTTATTGGGCAGAGAATATACATGACGGGCACAATGCAAAATGGAGTATTCTTTATATGTTTTGGAATGTATGAGAAAATAGATGACAGTAGGTACAAAGACAAGTATTAAATGTGTCATTTGTGATGTTTAGGGACTTGAACTGTTTTGTAAATTACCAGCATTTATCGTGATGAGCTGATCTTGGAAGCAAGGGTACATTTGCCAAATCAGCAGTCACTTGTCTTTTTCTTTTGAAAAACGACATTTCACATTTTTATTGCTCTTCTCTTTCCTTAATCCCTATATAGAGTAATAGCGAAGAAACATTAAAAAAATAGTTAGTTGAATACGACGTTTGAGGGGGAATGAACTCAAGTCAAGCACTTCTGTACAGGTGGACTCTCTGTAAAAAAAGTCTTGTTGTCTTTAATTTCCTCTGTGAAATAATGTTGTTTTACATTCAATAGTTCTACCTGCCCATGTTATGAAGGTCATCTCAATTTATCTCTTCTCTAAAAAAAAAGTTTCTTGTATGGTCCCTTAAATTTTGTTGCAGGAAGAGTCCACTGTTGCATTATTCTTAGTCAAAATCAGGCATGGACTAAACAGTTTGTCACCATAACTTTAGTGAGTCCTCAAACAGGTTAATAATACCCAGTTCTTGAACTGACTTTCATGCATTAAGTTCTGAGTAGCAATGCACCAGAATCGGCATACCGGAACATTGCAACAGTGTCTGGTGTCCAGTCATTCACATGTCCTGGTTTACTCATTTTCATGCACAGCCAGTCACCTGTCTTGTGCATTCAAAGTCTATAAAGAAGTGTCCAAACACTTCCTTCTGTGCTCATTGCTGGTCTGGACTGTTGTTGTGTGTGTACAAAATATATGTCTATTGGATTAAAGATAAGTTGATTCACTTTGCATTACTCCAGCTATAAAGAATAAATACTTCTTGAAGAATGTTGTCCTGATGGAAATCATTGGATAAGAGTTAAGAGACTCCAAAGCGTAGAAGACGTTCAACGCGTAGAATTGGAACTTTTATTAAATCTGACAGTTTAGGATAAAAATTTTATATACACAGTTTGTGTAAATAAAAGTACATATACATAGTAGTGTTGCATTCACAGACTGTATATGATTTGAAAATCCAGGAACGCTCTTTTCCAAAACTCCTCATTGAAAGGTG